TGAGTTTTACTGCATTGGAAAATGACCTACAGTAGCAATTAAATCTCCAAAGGATTGCATTGAAGCAGGAGGAAGTAGTTTGTCAGGCAGTTATAACCATGATGAGTGGAAAGAGGAGAAAGAACTCACTTGAGCACAACGGGCCACATTCAGCCTCACGGCTCTTAGTAGCAAGGGCGTTAGGCTTTTTACAACATTTTGTTTTCACATAACGAGTGCCATAAATAAGTGTGGTTGCCTCAAATAAGTGTGTCTGTGCAAAATACCTTAATGTGAGAATGAAAGCCTCACTCCACATTTAAGTGCCATAGGAATTACTCCCGTGGCAAGAACATGCTCACAGGCCCCAGACTGTGTTGGTCAACCAAAAAACCAAAACTCTTTTATCCAAACTGCTAAGTATGGTGGGACCTATTCCTTTTCAAAATCTATCTGGCACCATCCTTGCCAGAAAAATAATGGACTCTTATAATACTACACTGTTTTCTACACATCCATCATATCTTTTCAAGGAGCCAATAACATCAGCATGTCTCCCTAGTTCTTATGCAAGACACCAGCATGTCATGTGTATCTATTTTCCCAATGAATCACTTTCTTCTGGCAAAACAGTGCCATCAAGGAAACTAAGGAACAGTGTACTGTAATAAAAGAGCTCCTTTCTACAAAGAAATTCAGGGCCATGCTAAACAATGCAAGATTCCTTTACAGCACTTTTGTGTACATATAGGAAAAAAGCATGAAAACTGCTTTTAGAGTGAAAAAATGCATGAATCTACAAAAATTGAGAAAAATTCTTTCTCTACTGTAATTAGTCACTGCTGCGAAGTAAGTGTACATAGCTTTCTACATCATTTTTTAATAGATCCACAGATATGTTTTCCTTCCTCAGCCCCTATTTTGTCTGCTTGCTATTCTTTCAAAGGAACTTGCTGCAATTTGCTTGTTTACCATTCATTATTGTTTCCACAACATTCCCTTGCAGGAATGACTCTTACATGGCTTCCCAATACCCTCATGCATTTTAATTGCGTACTTTCTGAATTTCCAAAGTCACCCAGGCAAAAATACATACAGAGAGCTCCTAGCAGAAGTGTCCATACATAAAAATAATAATACCAATGGTTAATAAAAAGCCAAGATACTGCAGTGGAAATAATATGCTGCACAAGTAAAATGAATTCTATTTCAAGAATGTAAAATGCAACTTAAGTTCTGCATTCTGTAGTTTTCTTTGCTGTGGGTTTCCGAGTCCGGATGTATTTGGGCACATGTCTGCTCCCCCTCTCCATATCCTTAGACATTCAAGGCTAATTATTAACATAGAGAGGGAAAGCACGCACACACACACACACACACACACACATCTATTTAGAGCTATTTTCATATTCATTCATTCAGTCTTATTAATAGCTCTGCACAAAAAGATACTGACAGTAAAGCCTTGTCCTACAACCTTAAGCAAAACCTTGTTGTGAAAATAAGCTTATGCTGAAGGAAATGTCTTCTGCAAAACTCCTCACAAAGATACTGCTCTGGAAGCAATGCAAAGTTAACATGCACCAGACCAACCAAGGACATTCTACATGTGTAACAGTCCACAGAACAGTCCAAGTGATCTAGAGCAGCCTTTGCCAACCTGGTGCCTCCCAGAGGTTTTGGACCACATCGCCTATCAATCCCAGCCAGCACGGAAGGCAGGATTAGAATATACTGTTGCTGGCAGAGCACAGTGGCTAGGAAAATGAACTGTGGGCTCAGAGAATCCCAGTTCAATTCTTCCCAAAACTATGAACTCATGGGACAACCACCAGGTACTCCTTTTGTACAAAAGTGGGGTAATGACTAGCACAAGAATATTGTAGGGATTCTATTTTTTAAAATAAACTGTTTATTTTGTTCTTGTAATATATCTTTGCATGTAAGGATTCTTAAAGTAATGCTTGTTAATAACACTGAACACTTAGGAAAATTATTGTAAATGCAAAGTTTGATGGTGATGATGTTGGCTATCCTAATTTATTCAGTGATGAAGTATAACAATCAGGGTCAGGTTGATATACACATACACACAAAGTCTAAAATCCACAATTGGATAGTATTTGTATCCAACAAAAATGTCACAAGGCAGTGAAGAAGCTTTCAAGTTCTCCAAAACTCCATGCTAAACCAAAAGGCAGATAGCCCTTAGGACACTCACACAAAGGAGCCGGATTATTTGCCATTGGAAGCACTTGTACTTTATTGAATATGCAAATGCAGAGGGGTTTTCCCCCCTATGTATACCATCAGAAGTAACTGACTATTTAACAACTTATAAAGATATTCAAGATCAAAGACTGAAGCATGTCCAGTGCTGCCATCACTCAATATATCAAGATTCACATAGATACCGTTCAGAATGAAAATACGGGCCATGTATTTCTATCAGGGTGAAAGAGGTGAAGAAATTCTAAATTCTTGGAAACAACAGCTGCTAATGAGCAGATCTTGAATTTTATCAAGTCAGCCTCTTAGTATCTCACTTTTCCCATTAGCCAAATGGGCCAATATTATTTAATGATGTTTTCAGCAGTCTATTGTGAGAAGGACAATATGAAAGCGTGTTTCACATTTTAAAAAATTAGGAATCAATTGGAAACTTAACCCCTCTTCAGACAAGTAGGAACTTGGAAGAGCAACACGCGGGGGAGGGTGTGGGGTGAGTGTGCTACTTTTGCCTCCCCACATTGCTGTTCATGGGTTAGAAGACAACTGTCCAAAGCAAGGAACCTCATGTCCTCATGGAGGCTCCCAAACATTGTAAACTCCCAGAAAATCAGGGTTCTTTACTACATGGGAAGTCAACACGAGTCACCCTCCAACTTGCAGAGGGGGACAGATTCCCATAACTCTGCCTCTGCCATGTACTGCTTCTTCCAGTTCCTGGAGCCATGAAGAAAGTCTTGGACACAAACGGACAGTGATCATAGAAAACGGAGATGTGTGAATACCAGGAGACTAGGTGGATTGCAAAGGGCATTCAGAAGAGAGACTTGCACAAGAGCTGTAATACAGTGAGGAAAAAAGCCTTAATCCTAAAGTTATAATGACATTAAGGGTTGAATTCCAGGAAGAAGTTATGATTAGAAGGAGATAGCAGAAAATTATGGAGAGCAGCATAACAGTTCAAAAGCTGCAGTGGAAAACCTTCCCAGCTCAGTTATCCACTTCCCAACTGCTTGCCGATCACACAGTAGTTACATCCAATGCAAGGGGAAGAGAGGAACACCAGCAACTATTTTTGCACTGCTACATTTGAGAGGAGAGGAAAAGCGGATGGAAACCCAGTAGACAGGCCCCTAATAATAGAAATGCACCAGTCAACAACCCTTCTATGCCCTCCTTTATTAACACGTTATATAACTTGGCTATTCGTTTTAATACTGAAGAAAAATTCAGGCAGGGTGCCCATATGAAATGTGCCGTCTTTAGTTTAATGAATGTCTAGCTTAATCAATTGGGAATACCTTGATAGATCTGGGCGAATAGGTGATGCAGGGTTGGAACCATTATCTATTCAATATTTAAAGAGGCATAAATATTGCATCATAGCTGTTGCTCTCCTGCACTGCATATGTAAACAAGGCAGATACAAACACACTTCTCCAAGACAGAGAATGATTAGCAATTCCATATCTTGCCATTCTAATATGATTTTTTTTTTCATAACATGAAAGTTCAATTTGTGCAAAAGGCTTTTAAAAAAGAGCTTTCAAAGGATTCAATTGTAAATAAATCTAATTCAACGGTTGGCACAGGAGATGGGTACACAAGAAAATGGGTATTCTGTGGGGGGGGGGATGGGGAAAACAAAATCAAACATAAGTTTCAATCTGAAGCTACCACAAAAAAAAAAAAAGCTTTTGGCTAGCTGAGAGAGCACAGATGACTGAAGAAGTAATTGCAATGGTTATAATTACTATAGTGTGTTTGTTTGACAAACAGATCTCCGTAATAAAGGAGCTGGGGGGAAATAAGCACATCATACTAACCCTTTCAAAGTTAAACACAGCTTGCCAGAAGAGCCCTTCAACAGAAGAGCCTATCAACCATACTTTGAAGGGAATTGGATTTCTGCACCAAGCTATAGAAGCAATTCTTAGTTTATGCCCCTTTGGGAGGAGATTTATAACCATTTCTTCTTTCCCTGTACCACTCCTGTTAATGTTGCCCTCAGTAAGAGGAGAAGCTGAGAGCCAATAGCCATCTCAATAAATCTATGGGCGAGCACAATTCTTGCCCTGAGATTACGCAGAGTCCTATACTTTGCATTTTGGACCACAAGCCAACATAACACACCTGAGCCCATCTGCTTGAGTGGGTTTCTTAAGCACGGAGTTCTTGAATTTGCATTGTGTTCAGGGGCTCTAATATCCCAGCCGCAAGTCAGCCCAGGTGATTTGCAACGGGACCTAACTTCCAGCTGAATTTCTTGGGATCGCAGCCAGGGCGACTAAAGGAAAGCCTCTCGACTTTCAGATATGGTAAATTAAAAGGGCCCCAATTCGCGCAGGGAGCAACAGCGGGCAAGAGGCGAGCCAGGGGCCATTCCGTCGCAGCTCACTTGCCCCCTCCCCTCCTCCCCATTCGGCGCGCCGGCCGCACCAGCTCCCGGGGCCCCGACATCGCCCTCGCGCCGCTTTGAGCTCCTTAAGATCAAAGCCCTGGCATTCGCCTCCTTCGTGCCCCATTCATATTTTAGTCACGTGCCCCCTCTCCCCAATGGGCTCTTCTCCCCAGAAGGACTCGCGCCTGGAGTTTGGCCGGCGTTCAAGTGGAGCAGAGGCAGAGTCTGGCGACTCTTTCCGAAGTGGCTGGGGAAGGAGGAGAGCCAGTGCCCGGTTGCACAAGCACCGCCACCAACGGCGCCGCTTCTCCCGCTCCCAAGCCGCCGGAGTCCGGCCAAGTTACCAAGCGAGCCGCTTTTCCGCGCGGCCCTTTGCGCTCTTTCTACTCACCGCCTTCCAGCCTGACGACCTGAGGCAGGCGGTAGGTGCTCACCAGCAGGTCCAGCGGGACAGACACGGCGCTCCACTTCACATCCTTCAGACTGGAGCCCGGCGAGGGGCCCGCATCCATGTTCCCGCCCTTCTGGGGGTCCGGGCGGCGGCGGGGGGTCGTCTGGTGGCGGCTTCGCCTGCTCAGCCTCGACTCTCGCCGCCGCCGCCGCCGCCTCCCCAGGCCATGATGGGCTTGGCTTAAAAGCGAGGCGAGTCGCCTTCGACAGCTGCTGCTGCTGCTCCTCCGCCGGCCCCCCAGCAGCAGCGGCGGCGGCGGCGTGGGTTGCACAGACGGCGGCGGCTCTTCCCGCTGGCTCCTCTGCTTGCAGCTCCAGCTGACCCAGTAAACGCCATCCCAGCACGGACTGACTAATCAACAAGGTGCGAGCGACGCCTGCGCAGTGGGCGCCCCTCCTCTTCTCCACTCCCCGGGAAAAGGGCAGCCCAGGCGCTCCCTCCTGGGGGCGTGGAGAGAGAGAGAGAGAGCAGCGCCGGGCGCGGGAGGAGACGGGCGCAAACGCTGTCGTTCTCGCTCCCCCGTCCGGCCGCTCAGGCGCCCTGCAAGCTGCGGCGGCGGCCCGAGTTAGGAAATCGGCGGAAGCACCAAGTAAACGTGTGGAAAAACAGAAGCTCCAAGCCGCTTACTCGGAGGAAGTAAACCCCGTTGGAAAGAATGGGATTCAGAATAAACATGGCGAAGGTGACGCGGGCTGCTGCCAGATCGATATGTCCGTGGTATTAACCTACAATTGGGTTAATACCATGGGCGGTGGCATCAAGGAGCTCTCGCCCCCACCCCCCACTCCCTTGCTGGATTAACGTATATATACTGTTATTTTTCTTTTCGCGATCTCGACATATGGCACACACAAACCACTATCTAGAAATAGGCTTTCCCCCTTTTGTGCCCCTCCCGTTTTTTGTCTGCTGCTGCCGCCAATGATAAATACTATTATTAGGAGCAAACAAAATGTCACAAGACAGCGAGCCACGTTCCCCAAAACGACGAAATGTTACACGAAACGGGGGGAGCAAGGACAAGGGCAACAAAACAAACTAAGGGAAACTATAAATGAGGCTGCATCTTATTTTGTTTTATTACATTTATATATCACCTCTTCAAGGTGGTGTACGTGGTTCTCCAATATCTCCCCATTTTATCTGCACAAGAACCCTGTGAAGTAGGTTAGGCTGAGAGACAGTGCCTGGCCAAAGATCACACAGTGAGATTCATGGCTGAGGGGGGGGGGGCTAAATCCCCAGATTCTTGTCCAAATTTAGACTTGGTTCCAAAATGAAGACTGGATTATGGATTGGATTAGACCCTGCTAGATGCTTTAGGACTCAATGATCCCTGTTTTTGAAAACCTAAATCCTACACTATACAGTGGCACCTTGGGTTAATAACTTAATTCGTTCCGGAGGTCCGTTCTTAACCTGAAACTGTTCTTAACCTAAAGCACCACTTTAGCTAATGGGGCCTCCTGCTGCTGCCACGCCGCTGGAGCACGATTTCTGTTCCCATCCTGAAGCAAAGTTCTTAACCGGAGGTACTATTTCTGGGTTAGCAGAGTCTGTTGAAGCATATGTAACCCGAGGTACCACTGTATAGGCTACCTGAGCCTTTGTTTTTGTGGTTTTGAACAACCCCCAGACCTCTGGAGAGATTTGACTCTCTTGACTTTATTTTTCACATTCTCCTCGTTTTTTAGAATGTTGTTCTTCAGAAGTCCAATGTGACTCTGCTGACAATTGTCCACTTACACATAAGATGAACCAAATAGCGCCATGATCACTTGCTCACCTTCCCTGACATTGGTTCCATGACCAGCTGTTCTTGGGCACAGTCATTATCAAGAAACCTCTTGTCATGACCAGAATACACATTTACCCAGTCGATGTAAGGGCAACTTAAGTCACCCATTACTACAACCGCAATACTTCCTTCTATCAGTGCCTCCTTTGACTTAATCAGTTGAAGCTAAATGGAAGTGGTTGGACGTGTTACCCAGTGGTAACCCTTAAAATCTCTCTTAGGAAATATAAGTAGGATCATGCTGCACAACTATAGGGCTATTTGTAACCTTCAGTGGAGTTCTTTATCACTAAAGGCTTGGCTTTACCATAGGGCAGCACAAGTAGCTGCTGGGGGCACCAAAAAAAGCAAAGGGTGCCACGGTTGTGCTCTATTGTTCGTGTGCAGAAACACACACATGCATCTCAGCTAGGGCTACCAGCCTATCTTCCACCCCAATCCTTCTGTTAGCACCATCCATCATACTGCCTCTCCTTTAATTGCCCACCTGCAATGTTATATGGCATTGAGAAGAGGATGAGTGTAGCACAGCAGTGATGACAACAGACAGGTTTGCTTGCTCATTGATTCTGCCTGTAATTGGTGTAGCAGCAGAGCTCTCAGTCGTGGAACATGCCTTCCCCTTCCTAGCAGTTTTGATTTGGGGCAGTTCAGCTGCTCCATCCATCTATCCGAGCTGTGTTGCTGGCAGGAAGCAGCGGTGTACCAGCCTTAGACTTCCTGCGCATAGGGATGTGTGTGTCTTTTTTCTGTTCCCTTTGTATGTTTTGTTCTTTCTCTGTTCTATGTCTCATCTCTTGTACTCCCTCCCATGGATTGCCTGATTGTCATTAGGACCGGTCTTTCTCAGATGGAAACAGATGCTATACTGCCTATTGTAAGATATATGTGTATGACAGAAAGAGAAATACGCCTCAATTATAGTGACAAAACAACTTCAGCCAGTTCTATTGGCATTGCTCCAAAAGAAAGGAAACTGATGGCATTGAATGGGATAATGATGTCCTGGAAGAATCCTGAAATATAATGAGCGTTGGACAACTATACTAGGCACACTGCTGGGAAAGTGTACTATGTTCATAGGAACCATACACAGATAGCAAATATTATACTTTTTTGTGGGGGAGGCGACATTAGTAGGAGTTTAGATTTCTACCTGCTCAGGCTCACAGATGTTTCCTGCAAAATTTGTATCAGTTTTGCATCAAATCAGTAATGCTTTTCCTCTGTAAGGAAAAGGTTACACTGGAATTGGACCCCAGTACTAAAAACTGATGTCTTGTCTCTTGAAAGCATACGATTGGCAGCTAGGAATCTTGGATGCAGCTCAAGCTGTAAACTGAGACTTTGTCCCTCAATTTCTGTAACGGTTTTACAATCTCTGATTTGCATATCAGTAGAGGTATCTTATTGGTTGCAAAATAACATTTTTTTGTGTGGCAATGATAACAATTTCTTTCCTTATCCAGGGTGGTTGTATGATTAGCCCCAAGCAAGATGGGAGTTGAAAAAAAGCAATTTGCGTCATAAGCGCTACTGGATCGCTTGAGCTTAGCAATGACTCACACCAGAGCCTGGAGCTTCTTGCTAAAGTATTTATTTATTGCATTTATGTCCCACCATTTCCTCCCAGGAGTTCAAGGTGGTGTACATGGTTATCCCCCTCCTCATTTAATCCCCTCAACAACCCTGTGAAGAAAGTTAGGCTAAGAGGTAGTGACTGGTGCAAGGTCACCCAGTGAGCTCCATGTCTGGGTGGGGATTTGAACCCCTGTCTTCTAGGCCCTAGTCCCGGGGTCAGCAACCTTTTTCAGCCATGGGCCAGTCCACCGTCCCTCAGACCTTGTGGGGGGCTGGAGTATATATATTTTTGGGGGGGAGGAAAGGAACGAATTCCTATGCCCCACCAATAACCCAGAGATGCATTTTAAATAAAAACACACATTCTACTCATGTAAAAACACCAGGCAGGCCCCACAAATAACCCAGAGATGCATTTTAAATAAAAGGACACATTCTACTCATGTAAAAACACACTGACTGTCTGCGGGCTGGATTGAGAAGGCGATTGGGCCGCATCTGACCCCCGGGCCTCAGGTTGCCTACCCCTGCCCTAGTTCAATAATCACTACACCACACTGGCTGAGGAACAGGGGAGGGTGTTTAATATTAGCCAGTTATTCTTTCTTGTTTCAGTATAGCCTCTTTAAAAGACCCAGAGATTCCTGAGCAGCTTAGAGAAGGGTAAAGGTAAAGGTAAAGGGACCCCTGACCATTAGGTCCAGTCGTGGCCGACTCTGGGGTTGCGGCACTCATCTCACTTTATTGGGCAAGGGAGCCGGCGTACAGCTTCCAGGTCATGTGGCCTGCATGACTATGCCGCTTCTGGCGAACCAGAGCAGCGCACGGAAACGCCGTTTACTTTCCCGCCGGAGCGGTACCTATTTATCTACTTGCATTTTGATGTGCTTTTGAACTGCTAGGTTGGCAGGGGTTAGAGAAGGGTACCAAACAATGGATTGTTTGGGATGGTAGCTAGAAGCAAGTAAATATGTTTGTCGGTCAGTTGATTTACGGTATAAGGTGGTGTCTATACGCCCATCCTGTATTTTTATAGTAGTGTCCAAAAATGTATTTCTTGCATAGATTGGTTCATTGTTAGGTTGATGGTGGGGTGAAAGTCATTGAATGTCTGGTGGAAGGTGTCCAGGGTCTGTTGACCATGTGTCCAGATAATAAAAATATCATCAATGTATCGCAGGTACAAGAGAGGTTTGAGTGGGTAGGCGTTTAGGAAACATTGTTCTAAATCTGCCATGAAGATGTTGGCATACTGTGGGGCCATGCGAGTGCCCATTGCTGTGCCACTGATCTGGAGGAACAGGTCATCACCAAATTTGAAGTTGTTGTGGGTAAGGACAAAATGGCAGAGTTTGGTAGCAAAGTCCACTGTGATTTTATCTGAAATGGTGTTCCTTATATGTGTGGGATGTTGGTATACAGAGATTCCACATCCATAGTGGCTAGTATAGTATTGTTAGGAAGATTATTCAAAGATTGTATTTTCCTCAGAAAATCTGTGGTGTCACATACATAGTTGGGAGCACTGAGGCCATATGGTTTCAGAACAGAGTCCATATAACTGGAAACACCCACAGTAATAGTGCCAATACCTGAGATGATGGGCGTCCTGGATTTCCTGGTTTGTGTATTTTAGGTAGAAGATAGAAAGTTCCTGGTCGAGGTTCTGCTGGTGTGTTTGTGAGGATCTGTTCTTGGATGTGTGGGGGTAGCTCCTTAACAATCTTGTTCAGTTCTTTTTTGTATTCTTGTGTGGGGTCTGAGTCCAATTTTATGTAAAAGGCAGTATTGGAAAGTTGTCTGTGAGCCTCCTAGATGTAATCAGTTTTGTTCATGATGACGACAGCTCCACCCTTGTCCGCCTCTTTAATTATAATGTCTGGGTTGTTCCTTAGATCAGTGTTTCCCAACCTTGGGGCTCCAGCTGTTTTTGAACTACAATTCCCATCATCCCTGACCACTGGTCTTGCTAGCTAGGGATGATGGGAGTTGTAGTCCAAAAACAGCTGGAGGCCCAAGGTTGGGAAACACTGCCTTAGATTATCTATAGCTCTCCTTTCAGCATGGTTTAGATTTTGTTGTAAGCAATGGTGTTTTCTGGTCACATCCGTTTGGATTCTGTGGTGGAAGCAATTGATGTACAGATCTAGTGTGGTATTGCGTCCATCAGGAGGGGTCCATGTGGAATCCCTTTTCGTGTAACATTTTTTCGGTGGTAGTTGGTGGTCAATGTTCTGTTCATTAATGTGTTGGGAGGGTGGTAGTTGTTCCCCAGTAGGTTGAGAGATGTTGTGTTGTGAAGATGTTGTTTGTTCTACTTTGTCTTGTTCTTGTGTGTGTTGAAAGTACTCCTTCAGGCGTAAACGGCAGAAAAATGCTTCCAAGTCCCCACAGAACTGGATCATGTGTGGGAATTTGGCAGGGCAGAATGACAGTCCACGTGAAAGGACTGATTCCTCAGCTGGGCTGAGTGTTTGCTGTGAGAGACTGACAATATTGTTGATCTTGTTGTTTTGATTAGTAGCCTGTAGGTTGGAAAGGTTAGAGGGTTTTTTGTTTTTCTGCTTTTTCAGTAACTCCAGTTGAGAGTGGTAAATGGTTTGTTTTTCCTTGTGGAACTCTTGCCAAACTGGGTGATTCCTAATAGAGTTGTCCAGTACAGAGAGTTCCTCTGAGAGCGTCTGTTTACAGTACAGAATGCCGATCAGGTGGCCAAACTCTACGCCAAAGGATAAATGGACATAAATCTATATCAGGAATCACAAGACAGAGAAACTAGTAGGAGAACACTTCAGTCTCCCTGGACATTCTATACAAGATCTCAAAGTAGCTTTTTTATTACAAAAGAATTTCAGAAATAGACTGGAAAGAGAAATTGCTGAATTGCAACTTATAACCAAACCTAAAACCATGGAGACCTGGTCTGAATAGAGGCAACTGGATTCTTGTCTCATTATACATGATAAAGCTATTTTTAGCCATCTCACCCATTGCTTTTTCCTGTAAGACCAATTGCAGTTGTTAACAGTTGTCAACAGGTTTACCACACCTATTGGCCAATCACCCATTCCCACCACCCTTCTGAGTAATACCTCTCCCCACCCTCTCACTATAAGGGTCTGGTGACTTCTGTTTCAGTGTATCTGAAAACGTGTGCATGCACATGAAAGCTCATACCAATAACTAACTTAGTTGGTCTCTGAGGTGCTACTGGATTTTTCAAATTTTGTTTCGACTACAGCAGACCAACATGGCTACCTACCTGTAACTAGATCTTTTCAGCTGAGTTTCACCCCACTGAGTCCACCTTTCTACTTCATAAATTTCCTGTATAAACAACCAACACTTTCACAAAGATACTTCTTATGCTTGTATTTGCATAATACTTTACAGTCCTCCTGTGCAAATCATAGTTTTGTTTATTTTGAACATTTGTAACAGGCAGTTAAATAAAATGTTAGTGGACAGGCAGTGCTGTTGCTTTGTTAATACCAGTAACAACTGGGTATTTTGTATATCATTGAAGGGAGAACAAAATATTCAAGTTCAAGTGTTGGTATGTACAAAATAGATAACGTGATCAGAAAGAATACAAAACTGCTCATCACAGCTTGCAGCAACTTCTCTTTCGTGTTTTTTCATATAGGTCCACTACATCTAAGTCAAGGGATGCACAGGAATTCTGAGGGAAAAGAATAATAGAATTTAATCCAGTGTGAACGAAGTTAGCATTACAAATACCTTCGTGATATTAAGGAGTATATTAATTGAAACAGTTATGAATAACATTAATAATCATTAATAAATATGACTTTAAAAACAGCATTCCATAGTAGAGTGGCCATTCATAGAATCACAGAATCGTAGAGTTGGATGGGATCACAAGGGTCATCTAGTGCAATGCAGGAATCTTTTGCCCAATGTGGGGCTCGAACTTACAGCCCTGGGATTAAAAGTCTCATGCTCTAATGCTTGTAAAAAAACCCAGGTGTCTGCCAGTTCAGGCAGGCCTGTGCTAGTCCATCCGTGTTCATGGCCAGTGGGCCTTGGGCTATTCTGACTTCCTGGTATACGTGTGGTTGACCAGAGCTCAGCTAACTTCTCTAGCAGTGGATAAGCACATCATTACATCTTCACAGCAACCTTGAAAGGCTGTGGATCAGGATAGCCTGATGACTGTTGTCCACGTGCTGCAGTCCAGTGCTACCCTCAGGACTAAAAGCCTGTTGGATCAGCATGCTGTTCCCTATATGACTAGGCAGATGCCTTTGGGCAGAACTTGAAGACAATCTTGTTCTCCTGCTATTTGTTTCCCAGCAACTAATGCTGAGTGGCATGCTGTCTCTGAACATGAAGATTTCATATAGCAATTATGGCTAGCAGCCACTGATAGACTTATCATCCATGATTTTGCCTAATCCCCCTTTGAAGACTTCTAAGCTAGTGACCATCACTGCATTGTGTGTCAGTGAATTCATACACAAATTATATACTGTATGAAGTAGTGCTGTCTGTTCGGAATTGACTGCAATCTGGAATTCCTAGATTTCTCTCACCGTAGTCTTTCTTTTTTAAAAATAGAAACAATAGCAAAATGCATTACGCTAAGGTTAAGGAATTTAATTCACCAATAGCACTTCAATGTCAGAACAACAAGACTCAGTCTCCTGACAATGCGAAAGCATGTGAGATGAGTCAGACAGCTCAGTATCTTTCCCAGATGCTGAAGCCAATTCAGGATTCTAGATGCTGTCAAAACACATATTAAGTAAGAGAATGTGCATGACACAAATTTCTTAAATGTATACTTAGGAGGGGAGTGGACAGTATTCCTGAAAGTCATAGAAATGCATAGTTCAGCTACTCCGTTTTTCATTTATTTTTAATTTCCCATATAAAAACATACCCATTCAAGGTAGTTCAGCTCTTCCTAAAAACAGAAGCCACACTTTCAAATTAACAGTGTTTTCCATGAGATACAAAGAACGGCCAGCTTTTGTGGACACTATGGCCACCTTTGGGCATAATGCTAACATAGTTTTGTGTTACATGAACAAACCTTGGGCTCATCAGCTCTCCATCCCCTCCTGACAAAAAAAATAGTAGCTTTCACTTCCAATTTTAGCTAATGAGTTTATTGCTACATCTGAGCTCAGACAAACTGTAGTTTGGGGAAACAAGTCAACTTCAAAGTATGGTTTCTAATCCTGGCTTGTTTCCTTAAACTTCAGCTCCCATCAGCCCTAGCTTGCGTGGCCAATGATCAGGGATGATGGGAGCTGCAGTCCAACTACATATGAAGACCACAGGCTCTGCATTCCTGCTATATGACAAATGTGGGATGAATGCTGACCACAGTGGAATTCAGTTGTGTTTTCAGCTTGGAGAGTAGGTTTCGGAAGTCCATCTGAATGACTTCTGGCTAGCCTTGCTCTTTGGTGGTGTCCACTTGCCAAGGTCCCTCTACACTTAATGGGTTGGTGACAGGGTCTCTTCAGTTTCTGAGCCTCATGACACTCCAGTTGCCCCTTTTCCCAGGATATAGGGCTTGGGGAGCAACAGATCCAGTGGGCCTCTTGCCGGCCCCTTCTTACAACCCTCTAGGGTTACCTCCAGTGCACTTGTTATACATCTTCTCACTAGATGACTGGAATAGCAGGGGAAACTTCTTGGCAAAGCCCCCTATCCTTCACTGTTGGTAGGGGAAGAGGCTATAGAAGAGCAAAGACATGGTTATCCCCTAGTCCTCTGCTCTTTCTCCAGCAAGCCAGTCTTCCTCCCCAACAGTTGCCTCTGGACTATTTAAGCTCAAAAGCTCCAATAGCTCTTCATCAGTCCCAGGTGGTAGCAGATATGCTGCTGTTTTATATGATAATTTATTTTTTAATGTGGAGTACGCGGGTGGCGCTGTGGGTTAAACCACAGAGCCTAGGACTTGCCGATCAGAAGGTCGCGGTTCGAATCCCCATGACGGGGTGAGCTCCCATTGCTCGGTCCCTGCTCCTGCCAACCTAGCAGTTTGAAAGCACGTCAAAGTGCAAGTAGATAAATAGGCAGGAAGGTAAACGGCGTTTCCGTGCACTGCTCTGGTTTGCCAGAAGCGGCTTAGTCATGCTGGCCACATGACCCGGAAGCTATACGCCAGCTCCCTTGGCCAGTAAAGCGAGATGAGCGCCGCAACCCCAGTCGGTCACGACTGGACCTAATGGTCAGGGGTCCCTTTACCTTTACCCTCTTTGAGGTGAGGAGACCAGAACTGTACATCGTATTCCAAATGTGGTCACACCATAGATTTGTAGGGACAGAGGAACTAGTGTATCATGGTGGGTAGGGTGGAAAGTAGATTTTAGGCAAACTATTGGAGAGATTGGATGGGTCTGAAGTGGTCATTGTTTTGGGACTGGATGAGACTGTAGACTAAGTCAACATGATCAGAAACCTTAAAGTGAAGATCCTCAGGCAGAATGGCCTCTGTGTCTATCCCTTTAAGAAGGCCCCAGTCTGTCTCTACAGGAGCCAGAGCCCAGCCAACAACGTCTGGAGATTTCTGATCCCAAACTTATAGGTCAGTAGGCAGATGGAGGTACATAGTCAGTAGATCCGTATGTTTAAACTTTCCCTTTCTATCGCAATTATTTTCTTTCTTCAAAACATCATTGTTTGTTAAGGTAAAGACAACAATATGTAGGCTAAATATATTCACAGAGCAGGAATGAATTTGTATTTCTGGGCCATCTAATTTACAAGATTTGGTCTAAGAAAAAGAAGTTGTTGCAGTGAGCTTACCTTGTTCAATATTTCTTTAGCTAGCACTAAAAAGGCATCTTCAATGTTAATATTGTCCTTAGCACTGGTCTCAAAAAAGGGTATTCCATATTCCCAAGCAAGCTGGAAAATAAAACAAACAAACAAAAAGGAACATGAGTCTGAAATCAAACACTACTAATGCCTAGAAAGTGCAATTCATAGCAAACTCAATTTGAAAAGTGGTTTGCACAATCCCAGTTACAAACTCTGTCACAGAATGAAATCAACAGACCTCATTTCACAGTCTATTTAGGGTTGCGAATGAATATACAGGAACCCCCACCATTAACCGTGTTCAATATGTGCAGGACTATGCACATGCGCCAAACCCAGAGGTGAATAAAAACGTCACAAAAAGGGGTGGGGTGGGGGTTTTCAGTTGTATCTCAAATATATGCATGGTGCCTTGGAACATAAGCCCACCTAAATGGGGGTTTGCTTTTATATCCATAGATATAATCTATTCTCTCTCCCCTCTGCCCCCCCCATTATTATTGGATAATAATAACCTACAGTAAGTCTCCTCAACAGCAAGATTTAACCAACAGTAAGTCTCCTTAATTAGCTGGGTTCAAACCAATATGGACCACACATTGTCATTTTCAAAGACTGCACAGACAGCAGACAGTCTGGGCTCTGGGATGCTGTCAGAGTCCCCATGCTGCCTTCACAAAGCTTAGTACGTGTGGAAAATCTGTTGGGTGTACAGGTGGAGAAAATAAATAAATAAATGGAGAGTGGGAAATAGTGGGTTCCCCCACTCCCCATTTATTTATTCCCCCCAACACAACATAAATGGGTATTAACCACGAGTGTCTACATGCTCTCAGTCTTGTTTTAAATGTATTTGTTGTTTTGAGGTTTTCAACTGTTTTAATGTGTGAATTGCAATTAATAAATCAACGACGATGACCATGACAACAACAACAACATATTTCTACTATACAACAATAATTTCATTCTAATCTTAGGTTATACTTGTTTCAAACGTAAAATACTACCAATGTATGGACTCTACAAAGCTTTAAAAACATTTTTGCAGTGACATTTCTCAGACATGCTTTTCAAACATGTTTGGCCTTATGATCCCCATGGAGATCTTACAAAGGAGAAAAGAAAGGTCAAATAAATTGAGAAAGAAAAGAGCATGCATGCCTTTTTGAATAGCAAATCTAATAATTTCTCCTGAAATGAGTGTAGCTCCCTAGAAAATGTCTTTCTTCTAGGCTAGTGGGGGAGGGAGGGAGGCATACAATTTATAGCTATTTTGAGCACCTGTAATTACTGGTTTCTGTAGTTGATTACAGGAACAAATGAAAAGGATTGAATTATTCGTGCCAATAGAAGTAAGCCATGGGGAAATAAATAATTTAATGAATCACATTAGGAAGATTTTTAGAATCCCATCCAAAACAAAGGCTTGAATCCTAACTACCAAAATTTTGGGATGGTTAGCATGAAAATCTGAGGTGGAAAATGTGTGTTCTTCGGGTAAAAAAGATGTGTCCCTGAAAAATCTCACATAGGTTTTCAACCTGGTTAATTAAAAATAATAAGAATCGCAAGTGGGTGGGGGTTTTTTTGTCAGTTAACTGGCAAATAAATGGAAGCTGAAGAGTGAGGGAAGCTTGTTTTGCGTGGAGCTGGTTCTCCAAAAGCAATGAAGCAGCTACTCCCCTGCCCTTCTGCTGGGAAAGGTGAGAGGAAAAAATGGGGAGGTGCTGCTTTAAGCTGCTCAAGGCACTTTGTGGTAGCTCCAAATAAACCAGCTTCCTTGACCATCCCCCTCTTTGTGCTAGAACCTAGGATGCCTTGAGTTGGCGGCTCTTGATGGGCCGTGGTCAAGGAGCATGTTTGTTGGGGGGGGAGAGGTGTGTATGTGTGTGTGAGTGTGCATGTGTATGTGGTGATCTTCAGAGAATGAAGGTTGCAGGATGTGATTTTGGACCCACCCAACAACAAACATTACCCTTGAGGAAACACAGTTCTTTGTGGAAAGAAGGTCCCCCATTGCTCAGTTAGAGGTATTCCTTCCTAAACCAAGGAAAGCGGGCACGAAGTGCCTGTTAAAATGGTGCTCCCAACCTAGAAACAGTGGTCATATGGTAAGAAAGCCCCCCTGGGGTCCTTTGGGAAGCAGGACAGGCTATAACATGAATTAATAATAGTAATAAGTAGCAGCAGCAGTAGTTGAAAGAAACTACTGCTGCCTGAATAAGCATGGGCACCCTTTAAGTCAATTAAACTTTTAGAAACTGAATAATCTAATTGATAACACAGCAAAGCACTAATATGAAGACCATTATTTGTTTATCTCAGTAAACACCTGAAAGCACACGGGGTTGTACCCAACAAAGTGGTCCCGTTTCTGCAAGGACTTCCACTTGTGCAATGCAACTTATACTGCCGTGCTCCACCAACCTGTTCTGGAGGTTCCTTTATCCTTCCAGAGCAGACTTTTTTGTGGTGGTGATGGGGGGGTGGGGCAAGATCAGGAAGAGGAGAGCAGAAGGAGAGATTCCATTGTGCAAGTAGAAGTCCTTGCATAAATGGGTCGACTTCACTGAATACAAGCCCAGATCCTTTTCTGAGGCTATTCTCTGAGGGTCATCTGTATTTGAAGAAGAGAGAAGGATGAGGATATCCAACACTTTTTGGTGTAGCACTCCACCATTAGAATACTCTCCCCCAGAGAGGCTCCCCTGTTGGTGCCATCCCCTTCCAGTGCCAAGGAAATAAATTGTATTTATTTAGATGTTTGGCTTAATACCTTTTAAAATACAGAATAAAACCAGAGCTAAGAAAGTATGAAACTCCTATTTTAATTTTCTGCTCCTTTTAGTGTTGTTCTATACGGTATCTAGTTTATTTTTATTTTTTATTTTTACTGTCAGCTACTGTCAGAAGCATTTGGAGCTGAAGAGCAGGGACAAAATGGTCCAAATAAATAAAATAGCTATATGAAAAAAGGGTGGTGGTGGAATGTTACAAATAGTAATAAAAATGGTAAGGTTTCCGTAAAGGCAAACAGGATTTCAAAGCTTCCCCATATAAAGTGCCACATAAAGGTTAATAAAGATGTAACTATTATATTCAAACAAACAACAATACAAACAGAAAACAGGCAGGACATAAATTGAAATGGATAACCACATAAAGGCATGAGTTTTAAAGCTGGAAAATGTTGCCTAGGCGTTTCTGACTGAAAAACAGCACATTTGTCTAGCCTTTAATATTTCTACCACCCACACAACATATGTCAGAACATCTCATAATTTTAATTAAGGGAATGTGTAAGGCTCTCTTAGAACCTGTACTTAGAGCTTATATGATGATTTTTCAAAAGAAATGTGTTTCAATCTTGGTTTAGTTCACATTCAACACTGTTCCAAAAAGGGAAGTCATACACAAAAGGCAGGGATCTCCAACTGGGTGCCCTAGTCTTAGTAAATATTCCCTCCAAAAATCACAGTACACGAGAGACTTTGCATTCCTGCTCAGATCCTGTTTGCACTGGCTCAGCCTCTCCTACATTGAACATGTCCACATTCCACTGAACACAGTGGGAATATTTACCAATACTTTTTGCAGGTGCCATGTGGGCAGGCACAGTGGAAAGCGAGGGAGCTACAGGTGGGTAGCTACAGGTGGGTGGAGATAGAAAGCTTTCCCCCTCTGTGAGCTTCCTTAACTTATCTTAGGATAAGTTATCTTAGGATCTGAGCAATTTTTTTTTTGTAATTAGATCAACTGATTAGTATGGGAAATTTGATTCAAATCAAATAATTAAAATTTATCTATTTGCTTAATGATTTCAATAATGACTTAAATCACTCTGCTCAGGACAAGACTAAAGTTCATTTGTGCACTCCCAAAGACCAATGAAGGATTTTTCATACATTCTATCTTTGAAGTCCTCTAAGGAAGAGGTTTTCAACCTTTTTGAGTCCACGGCTCCCTTGACCAACTACATTCTTTCTGCGACACCCCTGTGGGGCTCAGTAGCCCAGTTATATCACCCCTTGCCTGCAGAGCTGGCAGCCTCTCACTCTTTTTCGAACACCCTCCCTTGTGGAGTCTTCCCTCAGCCTCCTCTCATTTCCCCTCTCCTTGGGAGTCTTCCAGGCACCTGCTGCTGCCATCCCTGGTCTCTGAGCTGCCCCACCCCAAAGAGAGATGCCTCTCAGAGGCACCATTTGCCTGGGGAGCTTGTAGCTAAGGCTGCTGCAATAAACAGCTGTGCAAGCCTTTGGAAGGCAGAGACACAAGAGGGCATCAGAGGAGGGAGGGAAGAGGGACAGAGGCCAGTGTTGCCCATGGCACCCCTGACCATCATTCAAGGCATCCCAGGGTGCCACAGCACATTGGTTGAAAACCACTGCCTTACATCTTGGTTAAAATGGTGCATAGGATTACAGTCAGGCCTTCTGAATGGTCTGGAGATACCTAATGATATAGGGCTAAGCTGCCCCAAAGAGAAGTGCCTCCTCACACTGCCCCACAGGGGCCTGGGAAGAGGATGCCCTCAGCCTTAGTGGCCCGATGGAGACTGGCCAAACGTGAACATGAGGCCAGCACCTTACTCACCTTGGGAGGCAGCAATGGCAGCAGCGGGCACTGCCAGGCTTGCATGGCAGAATGGCTCCTCTTCAGCACCAGACACTCAACTCCCAGGCAGGCCTTGCACACAGCAGGCACAGCAAGGCCAGCGCAGCACCTGCCTGCCTGTTCAGCCACCCCACTTGTCTGTCCATTTCCAACAACAAGGGCTGGTGGACTGGCTAGCTGGGCTCCCTCGCCTGCTTGCTTGCTTACTCCAAGGCTGCCTCAGCTCCTGGCAACCAGCACCCCCTGGCCAGCCCCAGAGGCACCATTTGTCTGGGGAGCTTGTAGCCAGGGCTGCTGCAACAAAGAGCTGTGCAAGCCTTTGGGAGGCAGAGACACAAGAGAGCATCAGAGGAGGGAGGGAAGGAAAGAGGGACAGAGGCCAGTGTTGCCATGGCACACTGGTTGGAAACCCCTGCTCTAAGGATGATAGTGAGCTTTCTCAATGTTTACAGTTATATATGACAAAATGCTTCTAATTTATTAGCAAAGCAAATACTACATGATACTACTTGATGAAAGCAGGCAATATTGGCTGTTCTGCTCCCTAGGAAAATTGCACCAAATGGAGAGAAATCAGAATTATTTCCTATATTGTGACAAAGGAATGGAAGAGCAATTCAAACAAAATCTAGAAAGGAATGAGAAATGGTAATGGCTTGTTCCATTAACACAAAGTTACTCTGTTAACCATACAATTGAAAAAGGCATTGAACTATTTAGAAGCCAGAAAATGCGATACACCAACACTGCCCCCTGGTTGAATATTCATCACGATAGCTTTTAGTTGACTAACCACAAATGTTTCCAAAAAAGCATGCAGTTTGCTCACCTTCTGTAGGAGGCCTGTATTTACTTGTATAGATCAAGTAAAAACTGTAATATTTGCATATTCCAGATGCAAGAGACTGATGCAAAATATGCAAATAATGCATTCTTCTTAAAAGGGAACTCTTATATTGAGATACCACTTGAAAAATCTGCCCTTCATATAGATATTGTATTTTATATGTTTATATCAGGGGTAGTCAACCTTTTTATACCTACCGTCCACTAATGCATCTTTCTCGATGGTAAAATTTCCTTACTGCCCACCAGTGGAAATGGTAATGGCTTGTTCCATTAACACAAAGTTACTCTGTTAACCATACAATTGAAAAAGGCATTGAACTATTTAGAAGCCAGAAAATGCGATACACCAACACTGCCCCCTGGTTGAATATTCATCACGATAGCTTTTAGTTGACTAACCACAAATGTTTCCAAAAAAGCATGCAGTTTGCTCACCTTCTGTAGGAGGCCTGTATTTACTTGTATAGATCAAGTAAAAACTGTAATATTTGCATATTCCAGATGCAAGAGACTGATGCAAAATATGCAAATAATGCATTCTTCTTAAAAGGGAACTCTTATATTGAGATACCACTTGAAAAATCTGCCCTTCATATAGATATTGTATTTTATATGTTTATATCAGGGGTAGTCAACCTTTTTATACCTACCGTCCACTAATGCATCTTTCTCGATGGTAAAATTTCCTTACTGCCCACCAGTGCTTGACGGAAGGAGGATTCAACTTGTGCCGTAGAACCCCCTACTGCCCACCTAGAATCCTGAAATGCCCACTACTGGGTGGTAGGGACCACGTTGACAACCCCTGGTTTATATTATATATTTTGTTTAAAAAAGAAGAGGTGAAACAATGTGATAAATGCCTTACCTTTTTCCCTCTGTTTTTTGGAATGACACGTTCGGTCTCCTTATCACACTTATTACCCAGCAGTATTACCTCCACGTTTTCATCTGTTTTCTATAAACAAATGAAGTGAAATGAGTATCACTAAAGTGGAATCCAAAGCATGCTGTCCAGCTCCCCCCCCCCAATAATCATTTCCTCAATAAATATAAAAAACGGAGTCTGAGGCAAGTTGCATCATTATCTACAGCTGTAATGAACTAAGAAGGGATGGAACATGCTGTATCTGGAGCCTCATTCTGATGCAGGGTTCTAGCTTAATCACTATGCAAGGTTAAAGTCCTAGGCCTAGATCAATCCCATGAATTATGGCATTGCACCAGCGACACACCCTTTACACCATTCTTGTATATTATCGGGGGGGGGGGGGAGCCAGAGAGAAAGGTGCCAAGGCAGAAGTTCATCAGTTACAATCCATAGCCACAAATTAAAAATGGATGAGGTGTGCATGAGGCTTAAAAACCGTGGGGGGGGGGGAGGCTGCAAATATGTAGTTACCAGCTAAATGGAACTGATGGAACCGAAAGATACTACTCTGGGAAATCAAAATATTTTCAACATGCATTGTTCAGTGCAGGTGGGTAAAACAAAAGCCACAGTAATTAAGCAGAATAACAACAACCTAGACAGCATCTTAAACCTAGACAGCATCTTAAAAAGCAGAGACATCACCTTGCCAACAAAGGTCCGTATAGTTAAAGCTATGGTTTTCCCAGTAGTGATGTATGGAAGTGAGAGCTGGACCATAAAGAAGGCTGATTCACCGAAGAATTGATGCTTTTGAATTATGGTGCTGGAGGAGACTCTTGAGAGTCCCATGGACTGCAAGAAGATCAAACTTATCTATTCTGAAGGAAATCAGACCTGAGTGCTCACTGGAAGGACAGATCCTGAAGCTGAGGCTCCAATACTTTGGCCACCTCATGAGAAGAGAAGACTCCCTGGAAAAGACCCTGATGTTGGGAATGATTGAGGGCACAAGGAGAAGGGGATAACAGAGGACGAGATGGTTGGACAGTGTTCTCAAAGCTACCAGCATGAGTTTGACCAAACTGCGGGAGTCAGTGGAAGACAGGAGTGTCTGGCGTGCTCTGGTCCATGGGGTCATGAAGAGTCGGAAACGACTAAACGACTAAACAACAACAACAACAGCAACAACAACAACATAAACATCCCTGTTCAATACATAAGACAGACAAGATCAGCACCCTAAAAAAGCAACCCATTAGCAGAGCTTCTTATACCACATACACTCAACAGCAGGATACGCCTCTCCAAACAAACGGGGTTGTATGCCACTAAGGTTAACTCAGAGTAGACCCACTGAAAGTAATGAACCTAAGTTAGTCACATATATTAATTTTAATAAGTCTACTCTGAGAAGGATGGCTGATGTATACAACTCATTCTTCTCCCGGGGGTTGAGGTGCATTCTCAAACCCAGCTACCTTATTTGACTTATTCCTATGGAGAACTTATAGCTCAGTGATAGTATAGTACTTGCTTTGTTGTCAGAAGTTCCTAGGTTCAATCCCTGCCACCTCCAGCTAGAAGGATCATGTACCAGAGACACCACCAGTCAGAGGAGATGATTCTGGACTAGATGAACAAATAATCTGACTGTCACAAGGCACTGTTCTATATTATTCAGGCCTTCCTGCCCCCTTCTATATTTCTTTAAGCTAAGGAAACTACTTACTTCTTAGTGAATACCAATACAATGATATGAGAGGCACAAGCTGGAAGATAGATAGATGATAGATGATAGATAGATAGATAGATAGATAGATAGATAGATAGATAGATAGATATAGATAGATAGATGATAGATAGATAGATAGATAGATAGATAGATAGATAGATAGATGATTGACAGGTAGATAGATAGATCCTCCACAACCAAGTTTACTACATGCTGGGTTCTTGGTTCAACAAGGACTCATACAAGCTCCCATAGTGCTTCCCAAATCACAAGATCTACTACGAATCACCTGCCCGCCCAATTTAGAATATTTTCCTTGAAAGAGGGTGGTATATCATAGCACATGCTTACTTGCTTTTGCCCAGGGTGTACCCCTAAAGGCCTTGGCAAAGCAATGCACATAGAAATCAATGTTAGAAGAGAAGCCACTACTCCTATCCAGCAATACGCAAGGCCACAATCCTATGTACATATGCTATGAAGTAAGTCCCATGCACAGGACTGGACACAAATCTTTACGTTTCTGCTTCAAGAAAGTCCCTAGCTCCTACTGGTGAAAACTATCCTATCTCTAGCAAAGTATTCACAATGTTATTGTTATTTTTGACTTTCAATTAGGTGTCTCATTGAGTTAGATTTACTTCTACTGCTTTCTGACAGCTCACAGATCCTATGTCAAGACATACACGAACCGCAGCAATAATTTCGTCAAGAACAGAGGGTAAAATAATCCCTGTGACTGAAGCATACAATGTGGGCATATAATGGATAGCTCTCTTACTTCAAGGCAATTGATGGCATCTATGAATATCTAAATTAGAAGAAACATGTTCTGAAACAGATCCTGGCATTTACAAATGTATGTGTATTGTAAAGTTAGTGATACTTAATGGGCTGGATACAGAGAACCGTGAATGATGTTATGTTCAAGGAACAGGGCTTTCCCACTCCGTCCTCTGAACTGCAGTTGCCAGAGCCTTCCGAAAAGTAAGTCCTGACAGTGTGAGATGTGGCACAGTGGGCTGCTGACAGAGTGAGGAAACGACATACACACACCTCTTGGGCAAGCCAACGTTTCTGCTTGTGCAAATCGCCTCTGGAGCCAACCAATTAAATGGCTTATTGGAACCAGTGGTCTTCTTCAGTTGTAAGAGGACAAATATCCAGAGACTTAACACAGACATCAAAACTTGTTCTAATTCTTGACAGGGAAATGGGAGAATTCACTGAATTGCGTGTGTCAAGTTGAAGTGACTTGTTTGGCTTCAGTGAAGCTACAAAAGTCACTTTGCACAAAACATCAGCCTTGTGTTTATGAATTATAAGAGGAGAACAAAGCCCCACCCCACTGTGTTGATGTAAACATCTGAAAAGGCATGAAGGAACATGGTTTTTATTCATGAAACGTCAGTAGAGTTATGCCGACTCACAACTATGTTGCTTCATTTCAGCAGTACAGCAGCAGGCAAAATTATTAAGGTTACTGTTTCATCTTTTTAATCCACTCAACTAATCTCATTTCATAACTGCAGCTGATGTTCAGGATAATGTAGTCTTTCAAACGAAGTAAGCTCATTGCAAGGGTGCAAAGCACAAGCTGAAAATAATGAATCAATCTGACCTGGATTAATAGAAGAAAATGATGGTTGTTTCAATAGGTACTGGAGCTTTACTCATTAAGATCATTGATTCTTCTATAAAAAATTATATTCTAAGTTCCTAAAACTGCATATAATAAATAGAGTAGTTTACCTTTTTATTATTTAATGAGAGAAGTAGCATGCTTCCTAATAACATTTGATTTAAGCGTTCCACATTTGAAGAGATAGAAAAAAGTAGTACTTAAACAAAATGAAAGTGTGCGTCCTTTTTCCTGCATTGTGAAAGTTATGTATCTCATTGCCTGAGTTGTTCTTCCAAATTCATTTTTTTAAATCACAAAAAGGCAAAGAGAGCAACGATAAACAAATCATCCCCCCCAAAAAAATGCAATTATACATGTTGCTTCAACCGAAATCTTAAAATAGTGAGTAGCTTCTCTTATAGAGTTTTGAAAAATTCAGATTATTAACATTAGTGTTATGTACTAAGCTTGGATCCTAGAACAATAGGCAGGTAGGATCCTAGAATGCAACAACTGATTGGCTTGCAGGAGAAGACCAATCAGGCTCCAGGAGGGAAGCAGAATTGGCCAATTAGATGGGACTCATTGTGTAAATAATGTATATAAAGGCCTGAGGTTTTGGGGGAAATTCAATCACTGTTTTACAAGCTGCAATAAAGAGCATGAAATCACTGCAGGACTCCGAGCATATTTCAATTAGTTTAAGAAATCTAGGACCAGTTACTTACATTAGCTTCCTATGGTCATCCCTTAAGCCAAGGACAAGAAGATCCTTCAATAAGGGAAAAATCGAGACTGATTTTACAGCTCTGAAGATTAACAACAGTCAGCTCATCATCTGGATTCTATATGATCTTTGGCCACAAGGAGGAGCAGTTTAATAACATGAACACCAGTACACAAAAGTAACAGATTATGCATAGAGGTTCAGTGCAAAGGACATCTTGTACCTGATCAGCCCAAAAGCTGGTATTAAGGGCCCAACAAGCTGTGATGTTAACATGCAGGTTGCAAAAATAAAAATAATGCAAAGAGCATTAGCTGGACATAGGGTGAATCAGGCACTGCAGGAAGGGTGCAAGAAATCCCTGCTTCTGAAAGTGCTATTTGCATTGAGAGGAAATCCCACAAGGGTGCCAATGTAAACAGCATCAAGAGGAATTCCCCCCCCTTGAGTTAAATTCATTCTCCCTGTCTGTTATACTCCTGCTAATTATAAGCCCTCCCCCATCTGATGGTACTTGCATTTAAAAAAATATGTATGTTAAATGCAAAAAGCACTTTAAAGCATCACTTGTAGGGTGGCCTTTGCAGTAAGGCTGCATGTTAAATACTTAGTTCAGTATTCAGATTTGTGGGGTACTGAAAAGCGTGAGCAAATTCACCCAGTCTTTACACAGAGGACCTGCCTCTGCCTCTGCCCTGAAAGCTGCAGCTCCCAGGCACGGGTGCGGGTAGGACTCCTCGGGAACAAGGAGGGCTGGTGGGGGGGGAACGCTTTCTCCTCTCCCCACTTTCTGCCCCACAAACTTATGAGAATACCTTTGTGTGTCATAAAATGGCCACCTCCTTCATCTTTATAAATTAATATTTGACTTCAAAGCCACTTTATACCATGAGCATGCTGAACGATGTTCTAAAACTGAGTACAAGTTTGCAAAATACAAGTTTGCTTTACAAATTTCTCATATGAGGGTGCAAGATTGATATAGTCCTTTCTCTCTCACAGGTGCTCATATTTTTTAATTGAGCACCTGTGAGAGAGAAAGGACTATATCAATCTTGCACCCTCATATGAGAAATTTGTAAAGCAAACTTGTATTTTGAAGCAATTTTCCTGTAATAAACATGCTGATTGTCTTGAAACTTGCTGCGATCAGCATTATAAGCTCAGAGTATTAAGCTGTCCTTCATTTGAAAGGTAAGAATGATTTAAATATTAAAGTCCCAGTATATCTTGACCTGTCTTGAAAAGTAATGTTTCCCCACAACAGAATCTGCAAGCCTTGCACATTATTAGCATAATTGGCATACAAACATTTACATTATTCTTTAATATCGCACTTGCTGGTTAACTCTGACAGATCTACAAAGACGTTGGTTGTGACACAGAGACATCGACAACTATTGGATTAATGATATTCAAAATGAAATATATAAAGCATTAGGATGGTTCTAGACTGCCCAGGGTGGCTGGGGCAACCCAGTCAGATGGGTGAGGTATTATTATTATTATTATTATTATTATTATTATTATTATTATTATACCACCATGGGTGGCTAACATCTTGTTCTTGGACTCCAACTCACATCAGACCCAGTCAGCATGACTATTGGTCAGGGATAATTGGAATGCAACAATGGTTGAAGGGCCGCCATTTAGCTAAACTAAAAGATGCAGAAATTCTCTGCACACTATTAGTACTTGCAGTGCAAGCAGATCACCTATTCAAAACAAGGCCAACATATTCAAAACAAGGTCAAACCCCATTCAGCCAGCTTTATGATACTTAGGGGGAAAGTTCCCAACAGGAACTTTTTAAACCAAGCCTTGCAGCCATGTGCAAGGTGGTGGAGATTTTCAGGAGGGGTCACTGCTGGGGAGGGCAGAAATAACTCTTACCTCCCCACATGCTATAGTTGCATGCTAAGCATTAAGTGTAACGTTTAGCTTGACCCTGATGCATTATGCAAAAATTGCAACCTTTAAAGTCCTTAACAGATTAGGTCCAGGCTACCTGGGAGTTCCCTTCTGTGAAGTACAGTCGTACCTTCAAAGTTAAACGGAATTCGTTCTGGAAGTCCATTTGCCTTCCAAAATGTTCAAAAACCAAAGCATGGCTTCCTGCAGCCAATCGGAAGCTGCAGAAGCCCCGTCAGACTTTTGGCTTCCAAAACACTCACTTCCAGGTTTCGATCGTTCGGGAGCCGATTTGTTTGGGAGCCAAGGCGTTCGAGATCCAAGGTACAACTGTACATCAAAATTATTAAAAGGGGGCTGGTTCCCAATGCCTCCTTGCCTGATTGGCAGGGTGTTCTCACTAATGACACCCCCATGATAGAACTCCTGAGCCAGCAAAGCTTGTCCTGCTATCTCTCTTAAGTTTTAAAAGAGATATGAAGACTCTTTTTTTAGCAAACAAAAGCAAAGCAGTGGCTGATTTTTTAATATCACACTTTAACCTGAGAATTGGCTCTTCCTACGGACAATTCATAGTTGTTATCGTTATCTAGGCGTGTAGCAGCATCAGTGTGTATGGCGCTTTATCAAGTACATCAGAATAAGTCCCCAGCCGAAATAGCTTACAACCTAAAGTATGATCATCTTTTAAGATAGTTTGCTTGTCTGTGTTCTAAACATGTTTTTCTCCTTTTCTATTATATTTTTAAAGAAATTTATTCATAAGCTGGAAGCTGCCTTAAGGGCTCTGTGGAATCATATGTATGGTGGGACAATAATTACTGACTCACAGGCAACTGAAGGAGTTGCTTAGGATTTGGCCAGACACTTCTTGTTTTACTCAGCAATGAACCCCTCCAAATATCCTATGCGATGAAGTCGTGGTTTAATATCTTACAAAAAATCTCAAAAAAACCTATCCACACAGCACATCAGCACCAATACAACACAGGAACAGCGCACAACAGGACATGTAGAAATCGCACAACTAACAGCATAATCCTATCCATTACATGGATGAGATAAGACTACACATAAATATTTTGGGAGGAATTCAACACGGCACTAAGCAGATCAGTCCATCGGTGCAACCATTTCTGCTTGCCTGATGGAGCAATCTGCCCTCTCCTTCCATGCCGTACTGTTCAGTGAATTCTCCTGACCCCAGTCCCACAGCCAATCTGTGGTGGCACAGAGGGAGGAGACGCCAAGGGAGCCCCATTGTGCTAGAAGAAATCCTTGCATGGGCTTTTGCTGGTGGGGCTCATTAGCTGAATTCACTGCCACAGGATGCGTGATGGCAGCTTGTTGGAAGCAAGATACTGGAGCATATGGGTATAGAATAGTCCATCCCCTATTCCCATTTACTGTTAAGAAAATAAAACTTTGCCCCATAAAGGTAAACACTGTTAAGTTGTACCCTGTGTAAGGCATAGGATGACAGTGAGAATTAATAGTCTCCAGCAAGACTTTCAGACTTAGAATTCCCTTGAGTGGGTAGGATGTTTTAATCTTGCCTTTTAAGCACAGGATTGTCTTTTAGATTTTTATTTGTTTTCCGTTTATGCCGGTAAGAATGTAAATGTTTGTTTGTTTATATATTGTAAATTGCTTTGAGTTACCATGGCAAAAAGTAGCCAATAAATGTAATAATAATAATTAATAATTATAATCTACAATTTGATATAGAGAGGCATGAGAATACTGAATATTGCAGAATAGGAATGGGAGTCTAACTGTTTAAGACTTAATATATATTTTTGTTGATTTGCTGGTCTTTTACTATATGCCAAAGCCAATATTCTTATAATTAATTTACAGTGGTACCTCGGGTTACATATGCTTCAGGTTACATACGCTTCAGGTTATACTCTGCTAACCCAGAAATAGTGCTTCACGTTAAGAACTTAGCTTCAGGATGAGAACAGAAATCATGCTCCAGTGGCATGGCGGCAGCAGGAGGCCCCATTAGCTAAAGTGGTGTTTCAGGTTAAGAACAGTTTCAGGTTAAGTATGGACCTCCGGAACGAATTAAGTACTTAACCCGAGGTACCACTGTATTTTTGTTCCTTGCTCTCCAGGAATTAATCTTTGCATATTTCCTGTGAACATGGGCTTTCTCCTTCCAGAACGACAGATTCAGGATTGTATACAATTTTTTAACAAATACTAAATCTGTAGTTCACCCATGACTTCACCCATGTGCTCAAACCCATCCCAATCAATGTTAACGTGTTTGTGGGACATATGCATGTCCTTTGTCACCACCTCTACCACCCCATGTTCAAAAGCAAAAACAGAAATTTGGGGCAACATTGGGAAAAAGTTGGGTAACAACATGATGATGTGTCCAGGATTTTAACACACTGGCAGATGAAATGAGCAAGATGTCTAAGTGAGTAAATGCACAGGTGGAATGCAGGAGTTGTGAACCAAGAGAATAGAGAGCAAGACTGTGGTCCAGACAAATCATGCGGATACTTACCTCTCTTTACCATGATGAAACACTTTACACAAGAAAACAGGAAGAGAGAAACAGTGATAGATCATGGGATATACAGTGGATTCCCCATCTAAATAGCAGCAGCATTAAAAAAAAAAAGGCACTCTGTTCTGGGTGCATTTGAGTGTCTGTCCCTAGCTTCTATGAACCTGTCAAAGATCATTGTATATTGAGAGCAAAGGCAGAATGGTATAAACGTACCTCATTTATATCTTTCATCCAGTGTGAAATTCCTTGAAAGCTTTCTGTACTTGTGATATCATAGACAAGAACGAATCCATGTGCTCCACGGAAGAAACTAGTAGTAAATGTATGGAATCGCTCCTGACCAGCAGTGTCCCTGTAATACATTGTAAGGAATCATCTGGTACTGCTTACATTGTAAGATTGTGAACAAAAAGTCCCAAATCATTAATTGCAGCTTTCTGTAAACAGAAAAAAGCAGAAGCTGCACATACAAATAAAAACCCAGTTGGCATACCAGTTGAGTACTATGTTGCAGCTATGTGTGACTCAGTTACATTGGCAAAATCATACAGGAAACAAGATGTAACTGGTTTTCTTAGTTATACACAATGTTGCAAACAGGCAGTATTGCAAGACAAACCTTTTACACCACTTGCTTTGCTTATAACCACATTAACACAAACTACTCTGTCTGCCAGTTGCTGCTAGGTGGATTTGTAAAATCAGGATGTCAGGAATCTCTCAGAATTCACAAAGGGTGTGCATTCAAAAGCTGCCCAATTTCACAGCCTACACCTCCCTCCCTCTCTCACACACAGAGTGTTAGTAGATTGACAACAGCAAAAACATAGTTTGTTCTTTTATTATATTGGGATCTATGAGCAGAGTAGTTAGCAAACCTTTACAACATGAATCCAAGCAGCTGTATGGCCATGATCCATTCACATACATTTCTTCCTATAGCAGGGATGGTAAACTTGTTGTGTCTCATATGTTCAAATCCCATCATCCTCAGCCAGCATAGCCAATGAACAGGGAAGATGGGAGTTATAGTAAAACAACGGAAAGGCCCCCAAGTTTTGTTCCCACTGAATAGGTTTGAAAGTAATAAAATATAAACTGTTTTTGTTACTGAACCCAAAGAAGACAACTACTTGTACTGAAAAAAATATGAATACACATCTTAGAATACCAAGAGCACATTACTAATTTTGATATACTAATTATTCTAAAGTTTTGAATTTATCAGTTATTTATTATGTACACCACTTAGAGATTTTTTTTCTGAATGAATGATCTGTACATTTTTCTAAATAAATAAAAACTCACCATATCTGTAGTTTCATTGCTGTATCATTTACTGAAATGGTTTTTACCTCGAAATCAATGCCTAAAAGAAACAAGGGGGGAACTATTATTGTATCTATAAATATGAAAGGAGAACAAATCAAAGGAATAATAGAAGTGTCAAAGGGTGTAAAAAAAAATTCATCATCTATATATCAGTTCGGACCTCACCAAAGTACTCAGTGAAAGGGAAATCCCCATAGCTGTGCTTCCTTATTAGTTTAGAAAGAACTCTTCCCTTTCCCTATATGGAAGAGACTTTGCAACCATTTGAAGCAAACTGCTGCAGAATTTAAAAGATTGTTCTGTATTCTTTCTTTTTTTAAAGTATTATTTAGTTCAAGCCTAAGGGTTGATGAAATCTCACTAAAGCTTCAGTGTAAAAGAAGTGTAAAAAACCTAATTTATTGGATTTATTTCGTAAAATGAAAATCTAGAAGGATCATTACTTTAGCCAAATTCACTTATATGCCCACATCTATAAACAACATTTAAGAGAGGGAAATTTCTCTTTTCACATAGAGCTTGCAATACAATTTTATGTCTGTATACCTTCTGTACAATAACTGGAAAGGGGCATGATATGTAGTTGAGCACAGGAAGGTCACTTTCAAAACACTGAGCTGGAAATGCTTAAAAATAATAACTCAGCTGGGGATTTCCAGTCCTACATGAAAACATTTTATATTTGACATAAATTTTAATAATAAATTGACATGAGCATTTTATTTATAAAAAGAGAACTAGAGAGTGCTGAATCAGATGAAAATTTAATCTAAATTAAAATAAGGCATATTGACTTCTTAAATCAACTTTACATTTATTGACCTAAAAGGTCAATGAATGTTAGTGAAAAACAGAAGTCAATAAGTATTGCATGCATGAGTTATTCATAGCTTTATATAAAATTTCAAACAAATTTCACAAATGGACATGGCTGTGGGGAGGGGGATGAGAAATGCAGGGCCAAAGCCCACCGCATTGCTGATAAAATTAAGCCATAGTATTATATGACTATGATAACAAAAGTAGGCTTGATTACTAGCCAGACAAATGCTATTTGATCATATTGTTTTTGCCTGCATTTTCATCCTAGCTTCTTCAAAGTATCACAAGCATGGGACACAACAATCCAAACCCAATTCTAATAAATATTTTCAGGATTTTATAATCATTCGTTGTATCATGAACACACTGTTGATGCAATTGGTTCTCAGCTAAAGTGGGTACTGAGCACACTAAAGGTTTCTGTGGAAGTCAGAATTTTCAGGTTGTGCTATCTGTTCGGTATAAGTGGGCCTACAACAAATCTGTATTACAGATTGAAGAAAGGGAGGAAAAAGCAACTTTCTTGAGTAACACTGGAACTTCCTCAAATAAGACAGACAGAGGTCAAAAGCTGAAGAAGAGAATGCAGAAGTCTCTTGCTTGATCCCACTGGTTGATATGTTCTGGTAGCACAAAAGAAATGAAGTGCTGGAGGGTGTCAGAACATCTCTGTCTGCAGAGAGCTTACAAATCTTAGGTGACAGACCACTGAATGGGCTTGGCTGCAGGTTGTCAGGCTCCATGAACGAGGTGGATGGGTGAGCTGGCTGTCAATCTACTTGAGCCAGAATCAGGTGACTGTTCCAAAGCAGCCAGGAGTCAAGGTGCCAAGCAGGAGCTGAGAGGGCCAAAGGCAAGTGAATATAGTTGAGGCAGGGATCAAATCCAATGGAACAATTGTGGAAAGAGAGCAGAAACCAAGGCAATGTCCTCAGTGAGACGTACTGATGAGCAAGCCTTGAAGCAAGGGTTTCCTTGATCCGAGTGGGCACTGATTTGCCCTTGAAATCAGCTGAGCACTCAGTCACCTGGTACTGAAGCCCAGATGGCACTCTCAATGTGCTGAGATCCACCAACCAGGCTTTCAGTAGAAACAGAGTTCTGGTGATGCATGAAGTCCTGGAATTTGGGAGCCCTAATAGGAGAGACACACATCCTCCTCTTTGTGTTTTACACAAAGACTAGGCAGCTGAGGGCTAATGGACACTGAAGAAGACCTTGGGATTTTAACTCTAAAATCAGTAAGCAACATGCACATAGCAATACAGTGGTACCTCGGGTTAAGGACTTAATTCCTTCTGGAGGTCCATTCTTATCCTGAAACTATTCGTAACCTGAGGTACCACTTTAGCTAAAGGAGCCTCCCACTCCCGCCGCACCTCCACCGCGCGATTTATGTTCTCATCCTGAAGCAAAGTTCTTAACCCGAGGTACTATTTCTGGGTTAGCAGTCTGTAACCTGAAACGTCCGTAACCTGAAGTGTCTGTAACCCAAGGTACCACTGTACAATGTGTAGTTTTGCAATTTCTCAGTGGTAAGTTATTGGCTACCCTGATAGGTACCGATTGTTTATCAAACCCATGTCAGTCTTAAGAAAGGAGTCATTTGGATACAAAAAAGAAAGAGAAAAGGTGAAATCATCTGACAACTGTAGAAAAACAAAACCAGTTAAACATTTTGCAGCCATGCAAATGGAAAGAATATTCCCTTTAGTCCCTTTAGTCCTTAATTAAGAAGCAGAAAACAAGTTGAAGTAAAGCTACTTTGAATCCTATGATGAAGTGAAATGAACAATATTTATTTGAACATTTTTATATTTTAGCAAGAGGTAAAAAAAAAAAGAGTCTTACTTTTACTTTGACAGTCAAGTCATAAGGAGTTTTCTTTAGGATCTGTTCCCACCACTTTAAAAGTTAAGTTTTGCTTCCGAAGCACTCTGAGATCTCTGTGAGTAACTTGTACACAAAATCTGAAAGCACTACAATGAAATCCACTGCAAGGAAATATGTCGTGGAACTATTTCAAAACTTATTTGGTTAGCCATCTCTATGTTCACTTGGACATGCAAATCTTTTCCCCCCCATAAACTTTTCCCCTGGTGTTCAATGAGGTGCCATCGTTTAAACAAAAACAGTTATTCTTTATAGTCTGCTATTCTCAATGTGATGAGTCTGCCTTATGATCCGTATAAGTTTAATTAGAAAACTATAGCTGCTTATAATTCACAAAAACTGCATAATTGAAGAGGAAGAAGGGCAACCATCCCTGAGAGTTTAAGTGCTGAATAAAGTGCTTTCAATGAAAATTTACTGTGAATGCATTTTTTTTATTTTTTAAGAAAAGCAAATCTTGAACAACTAAATGCTACTATCCACAGTTGCAACCCTCCCAATATCGCCAGCAAACTACCAACTTGCAACTATAATTCTGGGGTTGTGAGCAGGACCTGCAATGTCCAAACTATGAGGGGGAAAAGCATTGTAAATACTGAGAAATGACATTTTACCATATTGTATCTTCATCACTCTGCAGTCCTTTGCACCAGGGCAAAAGAGAGGGGATTCTTATTTCACCCAGATCAACGACTTCCCAACTACACACTGTGGGTGGGAGGGGGACACGGGAATAGGAACTGGGAGTGGAAAGAACTGGAAATATGTGCTCTTTAGAGAACTGATCTGCCTTCTTCCAGAGATACACCTTTTGAGTTGGAGCTGAGCTCTTGTTATGAATATTGGTTGTATTCACAAAGGTTGCACAATTGCAACATGCCCCATTTGTCTGCAAGATACTGTAAGATTTATGCCTAGAGGAAATCAGAGTTTACCAACTAGGTGCACAGAATTCCTCTTTAGTCTTGAAATTCTCCTAGTATAGATATATTTTGACTCTTGCCTGTTCATCTGGGGGAGGTAGCAATCGCATTCGGCAACTGGCAGTGGCAACTGGCAGCCACTATAGCTATACCCAGTATTTCCCAGCAAGCAAAATGTAATAGCCAGCTAAGGCTACAAGAAGTTGTGGCCATTACTTCTATCCATATGGAGATAGGGAATTAAATGCACTAGCCATAGACTCAACAATGCTTCCTCAATAAAGGAATCACAGCTTGGGTTCCAACCATTTTCAAAAAACACTGTCACTCTCCCCTTACTGGTAGAAAGAGGGGGGTGAAAAGTCAGCAAGTGCATTATACTTTTAAAATCACAGATAGCATCACATGGGACGACCCTGCACTAACACTGATCCTGACACCATGCTGATGTGAGCACAGCAATCACATCAGCAAGTGTTCCAGTCTATAGTGTAGATTCTGCAGTTTGGTTGTGCATTGCTATGTAACTGACATACAACAGATGTACGTGATGCAGATTGCTTTTACATTGGCTACACGGCAATGCACAAGCAATCTGCAGATTTTCACCCGCGCACACCCAGTCTTAGCTGTGCCTTAGCTGGAAAACAATTTGCAAAAGAGGATTTTAAAGCTAGTCACATAATAGGGCTTTTAAACATCAAGCCTAGCTGAAAAGCCTTGCTCAGTCCAAGGCATGCACAAAGCTGCTGTATCTAAAACCTTAAAGAATTAGCTCTGGATGATATTGCCAATATGATTACTTTAGAGTACGAAATATTCTGATTTTTATCTACTATTACATTGAAATGCTTTCTTGGTTATAACCGTTCCAGTCCTGTTTAATGAAAATGCTGCTTGTTTGTGCCCCTTCATTTCATATCCAAATGAACTCATTTTATTATATTTATTATACAGTTTCTTAGAAACAATCTCTTGGCCACGCTCCAGCAAAACCAGGAGAGGGGTGGAATCGACCCAGTAGTCTAGGATAGCCTTCCCCTGCCACAACTGTGCTGGCTAGGGCTGATGGGAGCTGTATTTCGAAATATCTAGAGGGCACCAAGTTGGGGAAGGCTCCTGAAGGATTACTTCCACCTCTTGCTCAGTTCCAGGTCTATCCTTCCCCTGGCTTGTTATTCTAGTAGCCATGCTGACAGAAGGTGACCTAGGTGGGACTGAGCCTCCATTCCCTGGTTGGACTGCATGGGTGGATATATTTTTCTTTCTCTGTAAGAATCCAGCAGAGCAGCTTCCACCACAGCATGTCAAGAGCAGCAGGGCATCTATGGTGCTTCACAAGTAAAAGCAGCCTGAGCAGAGAAAGAAAGAAGAATCAACAGGTGCTCAGCTATCACGG